CGGCCCAAAAGGAGATTATATGAAGCCTTTGCGTCAATGACATGGCATAAAGTGCTTGCCTTCAGCCCGCCGATGATCAAGTCAAGACGTATTATTCCAATTGCCCTTTGCCCCCCTTGATTGAAGCCTTGAATCATTAAGCGGCTTTGAGATAGTTCATCCATTGATATATCAAGGTCTTTCATAGCTCGGACCGTCAAAATGTTAACGGCAGACCCTTGATCTATCATAATTCTTCTGAACCTTCGTCCACGAGTGTATCCTTCAACAAAAAGTGGACGATTATGGGGAGTAGCACCCAACATAAGATCTTCGTCTTTAAAGACAATGTCAATGGCATATGCAGTAGATTTTTGTGCTTCGACCACTTCTCGCTTAGTCGAAACTGGATTTGAACATCTACTTGAACTCTCAACTTCCTTCTCATGGGTGCTAAGGCAAGAACTCAAAATTTGAGTTACCATGTTCTTGAAATCCTTGGGCATATAATCGTTAAGAGTAATCACCTTCCGTGCAACCTTGGACCGAACACGATCCTTCATTTGTTTCTTTTTCTTCAACTCGTTTATCGGTTGTTGCATGACCCATTTCTTTACCACTTTCCTCGGTTGTGGCTTAGGTTTGTGGTTCTTCTTTTGTTTCTTTCGGGTTACCAAAATCCATGGTCTTCCTTTGTCATCAACATCCTCAAATGCCATTCTTTTAGTGAGAGAAGGACATTCTTTCGTCCTCTTGACAGTAAAAGGAAGCTTATGCTTTGTGTCATCGTTGATCATAAGCGGAGCAAACCTACCAAATGTAATGGTAATTTGATTTGTGCTTGCTGCAGAATCAGCAAGTTCAATCTTTCCTTCACGGGCTAAAGCCATAATTTTGTCTTTGAACACCCAACACTTCTCTATCGGGTGACTCAACACTCTATGATATTTGCAGTAGTTAGGATCGTTGACCTTGGTGGCTTCTTCAGGTCGTTTTGACTGAGGTAAATCAACAAGTTTCAACCTCGTCAGTTCATCAAACATTGGAGATACATCAGACTCCAAGAAAGGATATTGTTTCTCCATCATCTCTCGCAAAGTCGGCTTGACACGCCCCGAGGCTTCAGGTTCAACTCTAGCAACTTGCTTTGCCTTTTCGGTATTCTGAGTGAAGACTTTGACTGGTGAAGCATTTACAACCATTGCTTCTTTCTTTTCTAATTTAGAAAAAGGCTTGCCCCCTTTCTTGGTCTGGGTTATTTACTCGGCGAGTACTCGGCGAGTGCTCGGTGAGTACTCCCTACTCGGCCTATGACCTTGCAGAGTAGCACATTACTCGGCCCGAGTTATTATTCCGAGTTACTCGCCGAGTACTCGGCGAGTTAGCCAACTCGGTCAGTGGGTCAAAAAGGCGATTTACTCGGGAGTACTCGGTATTTAAAAAAAACATTACCTCCGCTTGGAAAAAAGTTAAATTGAGATTATCCTCTGTGTTGTTTCTTATTCTCCCTCATGTTGCCTATTATATTCTTCTCTGAATACTGTAATAAACTCTAAGAATTTTGGATTGTTCTTCGTTTGCGTGTGCTTCTTAAACTGGTGTTTTCATTGTACATTTTCAAGTCTTTGTCCAACTAAAGTGAATGTATTGAATTTTCCCCTGAGACCTGAGTTGCTGAATGCTGAAATAAAATCTCTTAATTGAAAAGGTGAAAAATATAGCTTAGCAAAAAAGCATCATGTTTGGTTTTGGGTGAGCTGCAGTTTTCATTTAGGGAACTACCTTTGAGGACTCGTTATTCGGTAGGTGCCACTTTGAAGTTACTTTGAAGTTCTTCAATTGGAATAAGAATAGGTGCCAAAAAACTGCAGAAAATATTTGCCTTTTCTTCCACTGCTCGTGCTTCTTGAAGTTGTATTCTGGTATTGTATACGTATTATATGCATTTTAAGACAATTTCTATCCTTTTATTCACTTCTAAACATTTAAAGACAATTTTATTACTATATTTTAAGACTACTATATTTAAATATATTTTTTATATTTAATTAATACTAGGCCGAGTAATCACCGAGTAATCCCGAGTAATCGGTCCTACTCGTTACTCGGCCCTTGACCGAGTAGCTACCGAGTAGCGAGTAAACTACCTAGTTCTTGGTATCTTGCTTTTCAACGGCATTGTTCATGGGATAGATGCCCATGGCTTGTCTTCCATTGCTCGCAATACTCAACTCCATGTTACGAGCTTTGCTTGCTAATTCATCGAAAGTAGCTGGATTCACTCCCTTGAGAATATAACATAACTCCCAGTGCATACCTTCAATGCACATATCAATTGCGGAGTTGGTAGAAATCCGATCTTTGCAATTGAGGGCAAGATCCCTCCAACGCTCGATGTAGGTTATCACGGGCTCATCTTTCCACTGGCAAGTAGTCGTCAACTCAAGCAAGCTCACCACCCTCCTTGTGCTGTAGAAACAGTTTAAGAACTCTCGTTCCATATCTTGCCAGCTGTCAATGGAACCGGGCTCCAAATCAGTATACCAATCAAAGGCATTTGATTTCAAAGAACGCACAAACTGTTTGACAAGGTGATCTCCGCTCGTTCCCGCATTATTGCAAGTTTCCACAAAATGGGCAACATGTTGCCTTGGATTTCCCTTCCCATCAAACTGGATGAACTTCGGTGGCTGGTAACCAATGAGCATCTTTAGATCCTCGATCCTTTGAGTGTATGGCTTAACGTAGGAGTAAGTAGATTTGCTTCCTTCTATCTTCCCCTTTATGGTTCCCATGATCGATCGGGATCATGCCCCCAAAAGTTGAGATATCCTTCCCTGAATCCTCTTGGTGAGGATCATTCTCTTCATTCACTTCAGGATCCTTCTCATGAGTATGACTTGACTCGCCTTTCAAGCTTTCTACTTTGTTGTTCAGATCACTCAACTTTTGGTCTTGAGCTTGCATGAACATACTCATCCCCTCGATGACTTTAGTTAGATGGGCGATCTGTTCTTCCATAGACGTGGTGCTCGTTGTCATGGTGGGCATCACAGTATAGACATTTGACCACTGCGGAGTAGTCCTTCGTGGAGGAGTTGAAGGGGGAGTAGAGTCTGATCCAGATGATGAGCTCTCACCACCGCTTGTCCACTTCGGGGAAGTAACTTCACGTATGGGTGAAGAAAACTTTCGGGCCATCTCTTGCGCGATTCGAGATCCATCCATTGCATCGGGAGTAGTTCCCGAGGATGACTGCGCAACCAGGATTCTTGATCGGCTCCTAGTGATAGGGCCTTGCATGTTTTGATTTGAGCATGATGATGCTCGCGAATTCAAAGTGAACACGGGCTTGCTTGATGCCATTGTTTCGTTTTCCTTGATCAAAAGTGAAGAGATGAGAGGTAGAGTTGTCCCACTGGGCGTGCCAAAAATTTGTGAAACAAATTTTAAGTATTTATTTAAAATTGATCGCAAATAATAATATATGAAAATATCGGGTACAATCTCTAAATATGAATCCTCTGATTCTTCACTTGCAATTTGAAGTAATATAATTAAAGAATTTAATTTAAAATTAAATCTCTAATCCTTCAAATATTCGAACGTTCTTCGAATCTTTGAATCTTCGTTCTTGAGATCTTCGAATCTTCGAATCTTCGTTCTTGAGATCTCTGAATCTTCGTTCTTCGGATCTTCAAATCTTCTTGAATAAAGAATTCACATTGAAGGGCCTCCGGTTTTCAAGTGGCTTGATCTTCAACAAAAGGGCCGTTTTATGGCTTAATCTTCTGTTTAAGGGCCTCCCGGGATATATAGGGCTTGATCTTCAATTGAATTTTGATTCAATCTTCATATGAATATCTTCAAATCTTCAAAGATTCGTTCTTCATATCATCGAATCTTCAAAGCTTTGTTCTTCAGATCTTCGAATCTTCAAGCTTCGTTCTTCAGATCTTCGAACGTTCTTCAACTTTTGACTTTGTTTGATCAAGAATAGATGAAAATCTCAAAGGATTAATCATATATTCATGACAAAAACGTGGCTTGATATCTTCCGATGTTTCGGAATCCTTCAGAGCCTTTCGGGAGTTCTTCAGAGCTTTTCTGCAGCGTTTCTTCGACTGGAAGTTCTCTTCCCTTTCCCTCAACTGAGACCCCTATTTATAGGTATGGAGGGGGTGAAAATATGGCTTAGAGTTTTGGAAATTCGTCCATGCCCTTCGGGCCTCAATTAAAATGGGCTTCGGGCTATATTTTCTTGCATTTCAAAAGCTAGAAAATTCAGCATTTATGCAACGTATCTGGACAGCTTTTCTAACAAGGTTCATGGCCATTTTCCATGCATATGGAAGGATTTCTTATCCAGATTCGTTGATTTCTTTATCAATTGGATCACGACTCTTATATATTGGGCCGCTATTTGATAATGGTATCAAAATTAATAGGACCGGTCCATCTTTTTAAAACTCAATTTATAACTAAATTAATTGGATATTTTAAATAATCCAAATTAATTTAATCACTGAACCATATTAACAGTTTCCTTTTGATAAGATGGATAGCGTTCACGAGTAGTCCAACAGATTTCGATCTTGGCCCAATACATTCAAAGGAGGCCCAATATGGTTGAGAATAGCCCGGTAACATTTAATCAGTTAAATAATATTATGGACTATCATAGAATAATAAATCCAAAATATTAATTAATTTTCAATGTCCACAATGAGTTTTTACCTAAAATATTACGGAATACATAATACTCCGTATTTAAACAATAAACACTACCGAAAAGTTATGAACAAAAACGTAACTTAAGGATGTTTTTACTTGACCGTTTTCCATCCAAGACCAGACTTAAACAGACCAGACGTAACCAAACCAAACTTCCATGTTTATAAAATACAAAGATTATAAATTTACCAGACCAGATCACACTTAAACAGACCAGACCAACAAGTTTCAGTCCAAGTAAAAACATCCCAAGTGACATTTTAAAATTGAACATAATCATAATTGCTCAAAGTTTAATATAGGCATTGTATAGAAGAGGCAACATTTTTTCCATTATCTTAGATTTAGTCATACACATGTCAAAGTATTGGGACTAGTATTCGAACTGGAATTCAATCACCCCATATTTACAAAGGTCTGAGATAATGTCATGGAGATAGCTCAAGAAGCTGGGTCCAGTGTCTAGGAAGTTTGTTATTTCAGTAATTCAGTGTGAACCGGAGACATATAGCTAGTGGCAAGAGAAAGCATACTTCACAAATTTACAGCATACTTCACAAATTTCACCCCTACATAGCGCTACTAGGATAAGTTCATATTCAATGCACAAACCTGAACCTTCACAACCCACATTCATCTCGAGACGGACTACCGAGAAGTTGTGGGCCCAGCACCCTCTCTGAATATAACGTTAGCCATCTTTGGAGGTAGCCATGCAGTGCCAGCTGTCTTTCCTTCTCCAGGTTGAGGCCCACCTTGTTCTTTTACAGCATTGCATCGCATCCTACACTTTGATCCCCCAACCTTCTTCCCAATGAAAATCCCCATCTTCATGGCTGTGAATAAGCCCAATGCAATAACGATTGGTCTTATGGCCCAGTGAAAATCCTCAAGGTGTTGGTATTTTTTCACCATGCCCGGACAAGTAGTAAAAGAAACAAGTTCAACCTCAGCTGGATCAGCCAAGAAGTTGTTACCTTCCTCCCCGAATGTCAACCTGCCTGGAAAATTAACTGAAAGACAACCATTCGGCAGCACTTTGCAAATCCTGCCTGCGGCCCACTCACAGCCTCTCTTCCTGGGTGGCCATTCAAACCGAGGGCTAAAGACGTCGGACTTCACCTTTACAAATTGGCCAACACAATAAGCTTCTGACATCTGAAGTTCTGTGTACACACCCTTCCAGAAAGTGTCCAGTCCTATGAACGCCACAGTGACATCACCGCTCCTATCGATGCGGTGAAGAATACCCACGGGTGAATGATTCTTTCCGTAATGTTCCTTCAGACGCACCCAATCCCCGACTGAAAAACCGAAACTGACTCGCTCCAGCGTGGATCGGTGAACTCTTAACGGGTCATGCATCCCATGTACCCTTACCAAAAAAAATCCGTTTCTCTCTGTCTCATTCTGCATTCCTACTATGGTGCCTTCCGGAATCTCCATACTTTCAGGTTTGCATGAATTTGGAGGTTTTCTGGACCTGACAACGTCTCCCATTTGAAGCTGGTCCTTCAGAAGAAACCACTCACTATATCTGACAGATTTGGAGTTCCCCAATGTTATTGCATTCCCAAGATCAGTCCAGTCTCCATCACTATCAGTGGCACTCTGTGAGCTACGAAATATCAGGAGAAATCACTGTTAGTGGTGAATACAGAAATAGTCATTCCTTAAGTGTCTATTAAGTGTCTGCCATCTACATTGACTAAACTATAAAGATGTAAACTTATATACAAAGATCTGGACTAGTTTTTTTTTATTAGGTTGAACTCAATATAAAGCTTTGGACTACTTTTTTAGTAAGGTTGATTTTTAGAAAGAATCCTCAAGTCTTAATATAGAACCCAAACTCTCAATAACAATAATGGCAAGGAACAAGTCAATAAATCAATAAAGTACTATGATCTTATAAATTACAACTACTATGATAGCGCCTTATTTATTTGGTCTTGCTAATAAAAGCTTGCTTAACAAAACAACACACATGATGAAAATCAAACAGCTACTATGAGGTATATATGCCAATCTATCATTTACATAACGCAAAAGTGAAAGCATTGTCAAAAAGTAAGAAATACAAAGCAAGAAAAGAAAGTTTGAAATGGTATCACATCAGTGTTACTCATGGGAAACAGAGTTTGGAATAAAATATGTCAAAACAGGGGTCAACAATACTATGATCTGGCTGCATTCACCTTCCATATTAGGCACCTCATAAAGCTTGCCCTTTTTACCTTTATGCTGTGTTTAGTTTGAATCTAGTATGAAAGGCATACCTTCTAAATGCAAGCAATATGCCTTCCATGAGAGGACGGTTTCTGAAATCCCACTCAAAACAGCCAACAAGGACATTTTCAACTGCAGGAGGGAGACCAGCGGGAATATAGGGTTTCTCCTGTCTCAGAACCACATATTTATATATTTCCTCAACTGACTTACCAACCCAAGGCTGAACACCAGTCAACATCTCCACTATACTGCAACCAAACCCCCACGAGTCTGTCTCAAAAGATATGGGACCTCTTATCTCTGGTTCCCATTGTTCTGGGGCCATGTAGTTTGGGGTCCCGAGTCTTCGAGTCCTATCAGAACCAAACAAAGATACTCCCCGCAACATATAAGAAATTCCCATATCTCCCAAAAGTGCTAGATCTTTCTCGTTCAAAAGGAAGTTGCATGGCTTGAGGTTTAGGACTAAAAAACCCTTCGAATGCAGCTTCATGATTCCTTGTGCAAGTTCAGTCCCGTACCTGTAAATAAAACAGAAATGGGTGAGGCAAAGTTTGCATTTGCTTGTGCTTTTAAAAAGTGATTTACTTTACAGATTATAATATTATATATAGAAAAACTGGTAGTGTTGAAAATAAAAGTCATTTTTGAAAAAGTAAAGTTTGAGTATTTGTTAAATCAAAAAGCATAAAAGTGCTTCCAAAAAGCAATAGAAAACACTCTTTGAATGAATAAGGATAGTATAGATGTGCCTTATCTCTTGGAAAACTAATGTTGTTACTTGTTACCATATAACTCCAATATCACCTTATAACATCCTTCAAGGGTAGCTTCCCCCCTTTCATGTGAGCCATTTTGTCACCAACTGAGCCTTCATAGAACTTCATAATTATGCATAACTGAAAGATAATCAAAGTTTAGGATTGAAAAAAATAAATTTCCAACACTAATATTTTATAGTCATACTCACCCTCCCACTGATGACATATACTCCTTGAGTATGGCAAACATTTCCCAGGTCTTTACATTGAGCAAACAAATTTTCCAGCCGACTCCGTACAACATTCATATCCTCCCTGTTTATGGGATGCAAAATCTTAACAGCTACTTCATGATCCCCATCACTTTGCTTATGAGTCCCTAACCAAACATCACCAAACACACCCCTTCCAATTCTATGACGAAGTTTGATGTTCAACGAGGGATCAACCGATGAGCTCTCCGATTCACCCTCAACAATCTCAAAGCCAAGGAAAGATTTTGATTGATTTCCCACAACCTTCCCAGCCATATCTGGCCAAAGATGACAACAACCATCAAGCTCATCAACAGATAAGGATCACCCAACACATAATTTAATACATGCTCAAAATTCCTTGATGAAGGTGGGAAAATAGATACCAACTTAACTGCATCGAATCAATCACCAGCACAAAAAGAACTTTAAGCATAAAAAGTCAAACGCATAAAGCAAATTATGAATTCAACGTACTGAGCTAACCCTATTTCCCTTTCAAACAGAAAACATAATCAGAGAAAAATTAAAGTCACACATGAATCTCCTGTGGCTGGATTATATCTGAAACAGGAAAAGCAGCAGTAGCCGCCGCAAAAAAAAGTCTTACCTGTGCTGAAAATTCAAGAAAACGAATCCGTAAATATGAGAAAAAGTAAAGCAAGAGAGCCCGCACTTACTTGAATCAGAGGATCCTGGTAAATACTGGATATAAATGTTGAAATTTCGACAAATTGAAGTGAATTTGGTGCGAGAGATAACAGTAAGACTATGATCTTATACTTCGATGATTATGATGTATATAACCTGTCAGAGTATAGGCAATATTAAAAGAAGGAAAAATAATACGGAGAAATTTCAAGAAAACGATATCGGGATAGAGAACAGGAGAAACAGCCGTTCCTGATATTAGCAAAAAAAAAAGATACCTAGTAAGAAGATCAGTTCGAGGCTGCCATAAGGAAAGAAGAGCACCAAAAGAAACGAAATGCTGCTAGTGATATGTCCCGTCTACAAGAAGACGGCAGCTAGAAGCAACAGTTTGTCACCGCTAAGGATTGCAAGAAAGAAACAATGAAATTGAAAAGAAAAAAAAACGAATCCCGATTCCCATCCCAATAAAAATAAAAATAAATTGGAATTGCATTGCGGACTCCGGTTCCACTTTTTGTCTCCAAAAATAGAATCATTCGAGGTGAGGTCACACTATTTTGGAACTTCTTTTTATCCAAGAGAGAGTATATATGACTTTGGGAAAACTCCCCGTACTATATCGAAAAAGTTGATTAGGTCATCGTACTTTACAAACACTCAATTAAGTCCTCGAACTATTAAAAACGTTCAATTAAGCCCTTTCGGTCGGTAAGTAACCGGTTTCCTGGTTAAATGTAAACCGTTTCCCGGCAGCCGTTGTTGCTGGAGTTCGAGCACATCGTCGCTGTCGTCGCCGTTTAACCGGGAAACCGGTTACTTACCGACCAAAAGGGCTTAATTGAAAGTTTTTTAATAGTTCGAGTACTTAATTGAGTGTTTGTAAAATACGAGGACTATGACTTTTTATCTGACCCCACAAAGCATATGGAAGATGTAAATCTAATGACAATGATAAGTCTTATACCCATGTGTTCCATAAGTTCAACACAACACATAGCTATTTAATGTTCACAGGATCGCAGCAGATTTCTAACTTTGATCATTCCTTCAAATTTTCTTATCACTCAACTAATTTACTTACTAGTGTAGGTAGAGTTATTTCTGAGGGAAGGGTGTTTTCAAACTTATTTCCCAAAGTAAGGTATTTTTCACCATGTCATCTCATTACCATCGCAGGTCGCCGCATCAGTTTATCCACGTCATCCAAGCAATTCCATGTCATTCAACTTTAAGAATTGAAACGTGTTCCTAAAAGAATAAAAAAACCTTGCCACCAGGTTTCGAACCTGGGTGTGGCACAAGGAGGAAGAGCTAAACAGCTGCACTAATCTATTCTCTTGTGAATTTGACGTTTAGCGAGATACTTAAACCGTATATACTTCTTTCCCAAACAATTATAAAATATTTAAAAAACTTAACTTGAGTTATTCAATTAAAAATAAAAACCCGATTAAAATTTATAATAAAAAACATATTTCGCAATATTTAATTAGAAAATATTAATTTAAACTTATATTATAAAACATAATTTGCAATATGTAATTATTTTTTTAAATAACTCAAAGCAAAATAAAATAAAATAAAATATAAGTAAATTCATGCTAGTCCACCTCAATTTCTTTAAATGAATATTAATAATGTAAAATACCATATACATTTTAAACTTATAATAAAAAAAACTTAATTTAAGTTATTCAATTAAAAAATAAAAAACCTAATTAAAATTTATAATAAAAAACACATTTTGCAATAGTTAATTAGAAAATAAAAACTTAATTTACACTTATAATAAAAAAACATAATTTGCAATACGTAATCAATATTTTTTACAATAACTCCAAACCAAATAAAATAAAATATAAGTGAATTCATTCTTGTCTACCTCTCATGAATGATATCCAATTTTAAATTGCGGTGGGATAAAACCTTCCATGACATTTAGTATTTTATTTAGGTCTTTATTTTTATTTATCTCAAACATAGTATCATATGATATTTTTTAATTATTTCAAAATGAAGTTATGTGCAGTATATCTCTAACGAAAAGAGTATTACACGGATAAATCAATATACATTTGGATTTAAAAACTTTTAATTTCAAATTTCCCCAAAATTTAGCTCAAATTTGAGCATTGTATTTAAATTCAAATCAATATTAATTTATGAGAAGAATTTGAACCAAGGTCCATTCGAAAAGAATTGAGCTGCGCTGCTACAAAGAAACAATGAAATTGAAAAAAAAAAAACGAATCCCATTCCAATAAAAATAAATTGGAATTAGAATTTGATTTTGCATAATTGCAATTGGGTTGCGGATATCGGTTGCACTTTTTGTCTCCAAAAATAGAATCATTCGAGGTGAGGTCACAGTATTTTGGACCTTCTTTTTATCCAATACAGATTAAATATGACTTTGTTGACTACACATTTTGAGATGTGCTGAATATAGTTTCCTCCCCAACGTTGAATCCCAATGAACGGCTCCTCACGCCCCGATCCGAGGTCATATAGAAGGATGTTGACTCATGATGATAGGCGTTATGTGCACCGGAAGTCCAGTACACATCTAGAGCCCGTTTGGTAGCACCAAAATCGGCTGTTTTGGCTGATTCTGCTGAAAATTATGATATTCTGGCTGGAGTGGCTGTTTTGGCTGATTCTGCTGATTTAAGAAAAAAATATTTTAAAAATATATTTTATTAATAAATTAAAGAAAAAATTATATGTAAAAATAGCTAAAATGGTCCTCTACAGTAACTTCAGCCAATACAGCCAGAAAAGTAACTCCAACCTTACTTTTTCGGCTTATTACACAATTCAGCGCGCGAAAGTAAAAGTTACGTGTTTGGTGAAAAAGCTGGTTGATAAGCCTGATAAGCCGAAAACAGAGTTCTCCAAACGGGCTCCTATTGTAACATTCACATGATCGTTGTCGATTTTGAATCTTGGTTATTCCTCCAAATTTTTTACAACTCAACTAATGAGCTACTGGGTCGGGTTTTTGCTAAACCCGAATATTACCAGTAAGGACTCCGGGTACGAAAATTAGGGATCGCAACAAATCCAATTTTATTTGGTCTGAGTCGGGTTTTTGTAGCCTGGGTTCGGTCCAGGCTCGAGTTGAACAGGTTAAAGCCCGAACGAGAAATCATCTCATTTTTTTTGTATTTCAAATCTATTTTCAAATAAAATTAATCAAAAATACAAACCACAAATAATAACACAAATATTAGTCTCCAAAATCACCAACAATTCAAATCCAAAGAAGATAATTCTGTTTATATTTGGTTTAAGATGTATATAAATAAACAATACCCCATATAGGTTTTCTAAAAACATAGTTAAAAGATTTATGAATAAAAATGTGATTAAAGTTACTATAAATATATTTTCATGATCATTACGGTATACAAAATTGAACAAATTTGTAGTGATTCACAATTATTAAGTCATTTTTTTCATCCGTCGTGACTATAATCGTATAATAGGAATTATTTGTAAATTAGATTCGCACATTATATTGATGTTATATTAAAGTTAGTTGTTTTGGGTCTTTATCGTTCGGGCTGGTTTATAGATTTTAGATGTCATTTATGAGCTCGAATTTTTGGGTTCAGTATGCCTTTTTATTCAGGCCGGTTAAAAAGAAAAAAAAATCAGACCAGGAACATTATCCGAGTTGGGCCAAGGTCGGTTCCAGAATTTGGTTCGATTTTTCCCACCCCTATAAAAAAAAGAATTCTAATGCAAAATCAGTAAAGGTGCTTAGATGATTCATTTCTAATTCAACGTAGTTATGTCTTTCTTTCAGAAAGAAAAATTTATTGACTAGAATTGTCTTAATGAGTTCAAAACTATACATATAACCCATAAATGCCTATCGCTTGAAATCGACATTGAGTAATCCATTTTTGTTTAAAACTAATAATCTGAACAAACTACACATAATAGCTTATCCATACGACAGTGCTCCTGCTTTATAAAACTTCTGGGTCTGTCATCGGTTTCCACGATCTGCACCCACCAGCCCATTTTTATCATATTCCTTCATTAATACTATGTATGTGGAAGTAGGGGTGTAAATGAGCCAAGTCGCTCGCGAGCTTCTCGTGGATCGCTCGTGATAAGCTCCACTCGAGTTCGGCTCGACTCGAATAGTTAACAAGCTCAATTCAAGCCTATTTATTTTGGGCTCGTGGCTCGTGAGCCGGTTTGCGAGCCTTTGGGTCATATTTATACATAATAAATATATATATATATATAATAATTAAATACATACTTTTTTTAAAATATGTATTCTAATTTAGGACTATTCCATTTTCAATAATTATCACAAAGTGTATTATTATAGTAATAATTACAAATATAATAACATGTGCGTAGTATTATTTTTATAACCATGATCTGTAATAATTATAATATGTACTCTTAATATTTATTGACACTAAAATAAAGAATAAAAATTGTTAGTAAATGAGATATATATTAAAAATGAGAATGAATAAGTACACATACAATATTTTTAGCTGGAGTTAGTTCAAGCATCTTATTCGAGTTCAAATCTATAAAAAGTAATTAGCGAAACTTGACCCGAGCTCGAACCAAGCTCGAATGGAGCTCGAGCCGAGCTCGGCTCGAGATCGAGCTCGAATTATTTAACTCGTCCAAGCTCGAGATCGAGCTCGAGCTCGTGAATTCTTATCAAGCTCAAGCTCAAGCATATCAATGCTCGGGCTCGGCTCGGCTCGTTTACACCCCGATATGGGAGTAACGTAAAATTAAAAAATAAAGTATTCGGGGCGTAGCTATGACATATAGGTGGGCTAAGGCCGGCATACAAAAATGGACAGATTTTTATACAATTTTTTTACATTAATATTTAAAAGAAAATTTAGATTCGTGGTGGGCCTTGGCCTAGGTTGGCCTCTATGTCTACCCTTGAAAAGTACTACTCCGTATATCTTTTCTGAAACGGAAATAAACTACTATCATTTTCAAGTCATACATGCGTATTTTGGCATTATTAAACATTAATACTTGCTATATCCATTAAAATTTTGTCATGTTTAACCGGCACAGAGAATAATATTATTAAGGTCATAATAGATAATATTTTCTAATAATGGCAGTAGTTACTCTTATTTAAGGAATAAGCAGGGCCGGCCCAAGGCAGGTGCACCCAGCCCGACCGCACAGGGCCCTTTAAATTGGAAGGCCCAAAAAAAAATTATTAGTAGTATTACTCAGCCCAAGACCCATCATCTAATCTTTGAAGCTAAAGGAAACGGGAATGAATGATTGAAAGAAAATTAAGGAACAAAGGTTTGGAACTCGAAACGGGAGTTAGGGAACCGCAAGCTCAATCTGCCATTCCGCCGAAGTAAGAACTCGAAAGTTTGGAACGAACTGCGAAGGTCGAAGCTTCGAAGGGGTTCGCCGCCTCGCCGGAATCTGCCATTCTCCACTTCTCCAGCTTGTTTCGAAGGGGTTCGCCGGAGACCGCAAGCAAGGGCCAGCGGCCAGATTCCCTGATGGCCTGATGGGTTG